GTACGCCCTGTAATTATAGAAATTCATTTTTGAAGTTGGATGCCACTCATTTCACAAAAGTTATGGAGGAGGAGTTGAAAGATGTGGGCAGGGGAGTCCCACAAGACTCGTTCTTGGACCGGTGCTATTCAATGTCTTCATCGGTGACTCAGATGAGGGCATTGAGAGCACCCTGCCCCAAGTTTGCAGATGATACCAAATTATGGGGTAAAGTTAACACACCAGAGGGCAGGGAATGGATCCAGGTGGATCTGGACAGGTTGTAAAAATGGGCAGAACGAAATAGGATGCAACTCAACAAAGACAAGTGCAAAGTGCTGCACCTGGGCAAAAAGAAGCACCAACACACTTACAGGCTGGGGGATGATCTTCTCAGCAGCACAACAGTGGAAGGGAACTTGGAGTCACAGCTGATTCACGATGAACATGAGTCGTCAATGTGATGAAGTGATCAACAAGGCTAAGTGCACTTGATCATGCATTAGTAGATGTACAAAGAACAGGTCCAGGGAGGTGATACTTCGCCTCTGTGTGGCACTGGTCAGGCCGCAGCTGGAGTACTGCATCGAGTTTTGGGCACTGCACTTCAAGAGGGATGTGGAACTTGAGAGGGTTCAGAGGAGGGCCACTTGTATAGTCAGAGGCCTGCAAGCAAGGCCCTACAAGGAGAAACTGAGGGACTTAGATCTCTTTAGCTTTTGCACGAGAAGGCTGAGAGAGGATCTTGTGGCTGCCTATAAATTCATCAGGGGTGGACAGCAGGGAATAGGAGATGCTCTATTTACTAGGGCACCCTCTGGAGTAACTAGGAACAATGGGTACATCTTGACAGAGAGCAGATTTAGGTTGGACATTAGAAAGAACTTCTTCACAGTAAGAGTTGCCATAGTTTGGAATGGGCTTCCAAGGGAGGTGGTGCTCTCCCCTCCCCTGGGGGTCTTCAAGAGGAGACTGGACAAGTACTTAGCCAGGGTTGTCTGCTTCCATCGTTCTTTCCTGCCCAGAGCAGGGGTTTGGACTCAATGACCTACTGAGGTCCCTTCTGACTCTAACATCTATGAATCTATGAATGCTGTGTGTGTATAAGGGAGAAATGAGACATTCACATCAACCCTCCTCGGTAGATGCCATTGGCCTCGGGGACAGAGGTAGGAAACTTTGCTATGATCCTACCACAGGAGATAGTCATCCTGTTACCCTTAACTTTGAATAGATTATTGAGCCTTAGAGGAGCCAGGGTTTTGTTTTCTTTCTACCCTGCTTGTACTATTACATGATACATTTGCAGCATGCAGTTAGAACTCAGATTTGCTTCTCCACTGCACACATATATAATAAGTTTAGTGGCTTCTGTAGAGTTACTTCTGATTTATACTGCTGAAAAGTAAGAGGAGCTTAGATGCTATGGGAACAAAGTCACCAAAACTTCACAGAAGAGTGAGTAGTAAAAGGAAGGGACCATCAGCCCCACGGCTCTAACAGCAGACCATGTGTGGATCTCACAGAACCATAGATTAGGGTTGGAAGGGACCTCAGGAAGTCATCTAGTCCAATCCCATGCTCAAAGCAGGATCATCCCCAACTAGATCATCCCAGCCGGGGCTTTGTCAAGCTGGGCCTTGAAAATTTCCAAGGATGGAGTGTCCTCCACCTCTCTGGGTAACCTGTTCCAGTACTTCACCGCCTCCTTTTTATCTGTTTATCTATGTGTAGATTGAAGATACATCTGGAACAGTAACCACATACAGATGTGTACACATTAGCTTGTTTATTTCTTGTGCAGTTTTCCGTTTTCCACCAAATTAGAGAATTGGCATAACAACAGTTAATACATTAAACCTAAGCAGGAGGCATTTGCAACTCGTCAAAGAAAATTTTACTTTGGCCTTAAATCCATTCCCAGCATTTCAGCTCAGTTTTCTTTTTCTTGTCTTAAGTCTGTTCTGAATTAATTTGTTTTAAATGGCCAAAGTGCTTAAGAACAAAAACGTACATTTGGTGCTTTCTTCTTTGTCTTATTTCTGTTACAGAAGCACCTGAAATTGAAGCCCCAGGGCACTGTACAGACATATTGCAAGAGACAGCTCTTGCACTAGATCTCTGGAGAAATGACAGTCTAGCTACATCACAGAAATGACATTTTCTTCTCCTTCCACACATGTGAAATGCAGGGACAGGGCACCAGTTTTCAAAGGTGTTTAGAGGTTCCTTAAAATAGCCTTAAAAACTGGTATAGAGAAATTAAGACCCCAGTTATACCACCTCCTTGCTGAGCCTGGGACAGCTGCTGAGAAACAAGTTCTGCCCACTTGCTCCAACTCTGCAGGTGCCCAAACCCAGTGAGTAGATGGCACAGATAGCTTTAGTCTGTGGGTGCTGAGTCCGTGCCATGAGGTGGCTTGAGAAAGGCACAGTCGACTTCACCTAATTCTCAGGTTCAGGAGCATCCAGAGCAAGACCAAGTAAGCAAGGCGTATTTCTTGGTGATGGTCTTAGGCTTAGCAGGGAGGCACAATAGACATGGCTGGACTGACTGGCAGGAAGTTCCACAAGAAATGTTGTGTGGTAAACCCAAGACCCGTACCTAGTGCTCAGGTCAGTCTGCAGCTTTGTAAGCATGAGTCCAGCCTTGTCCTTGCGGTGACTGCTGCTGTTTTTTTGCTAATGACCCAAACAGCTTCACTATGCAAAATATACAGTGTCATTCCTAAAAGTGGGGTTTACTCTAGCTGGGGCCAGCATTTCACTCCTAAGGGACAACTCCCTGAGACAAGGAATTGACAACAATCTGAAGGCCAAATTCTGCTTGGCGATGCTCCCATTGACTTAACTGGGAGCTGGGGCTGAATGATGGCCAGGCATGTTTGCAAGAGGCAATAACGTGGCCAGAAAATAACAAATATCCATTGGAAGGCAGAACAAAACAACATGGATGCACGCTACCTCCACATGTGCATGTAGTTCACTAATGCAGAAGGCATCTAAGGGCTATATTGGGTCATCTGGGCCCCACCTGTTGGCAGGCTGCACAACTCACCACCCTGGGGAAGGTACTGGGCGTGTCCACATGAGATGCTTTACTGAACATTAGACTAATCTAATGTGCAGTAAAGTGTCACTGCCTACCTGTGTGCATCAATTACTGTGCATTAAATTAGTCTAATGCACCATTTGCTAATGCCAACATTTACAGGTACTAGAAAAATGGCACATTAACTAATGCACCAAAGCATATGTATAGACTGACTGAGAGCTATTTGTTCCTGTCAGCCCAGGTAGCAGAGGGCCACAACTGCTGCCTGGCTAAGCCCCAATCTCTGTGTGGTGGGGGAAGCTATCCTGGCTCCAGGTCAGCTTTCTCCCAGCTGTACAGAGACTGGGGCCAGCCCCGAGCTGTGAGGGGCAGGGGTAGCTGTCCCTGCTCTGAGGTTAGGTCCCTTGCAGCTGCAGGGAGATTGAGGCTGGCCCCAATCTTTCTGCAACTGCAAGAGAGCTGCCCCCAGAGGATGGCCAGCTCACCCTGCTGCCCAGGGCTCAGGGCCAGCCCTGATCTCTCTACAGCTGTGAGGGAGCTGCCCTGGAACAGGGACAGATCTTGCCACCTCCTAGGGGTTGGGGCCAGCCCTGATCTCCCTGAAGCTGCAAGGAAGCTGCCTCCAGAGCAGGGACAGCTCCCTCTGCTCTTGGGAGTGCAGGCCTGAGCCCTGTGCCCTCTGCCAGCCTGGGACTGGCACCTGAGGGAGCCTGGAGGGGGGCAGAAAAGGGCAGGAGCAGCCCTGAACTAAACTGCTCCTGTCTGGAGCAAATTTACTCCTGCAGGTGTATGTGTAGACATGTTCCTCCACGAGCTGCAATTCTCTAAAGATAGAGAAAAGAATAGAACAGGAGGGGATACAAAGTTCTGGCAAGGGCTGGACTTCAGCCCCGTATAGGTATAGGTTAAGCTAAGGGACAGCATTTGTTGCCAGAAAGGGTGGGTGAGGGCTTTCGTAGGCACTTTTTGTGTTATGTATCAAATGCGTGACCCTGTATCCGTGTAAGAAGCAAGGGTAAGACGTTGGCTAGATAAAACTAGTTTAAGCAAAGTGAATTTGACATCAGTTATCATGTGAGTATTATGTAATTTCTTGAAATTGTATTTTGCATTACCTTTTGTGAGGCCTCGGTTGGGGTCATTTTTAATTTGTTTGATATTATCTGTTTTCTAATAAAATGTCTACATTTAAAAAACAAACAAACACATGTTCCTCATGTGGCCAAAGCTTAATGTGCCTGAATTTACTGCACAGTAACATTCAGGCACATTAATTGCATGTGTAGATGTGCTCACTGTGTTACAGAAGCATAATACCCTTACGGTTTCCCTGTACTGCTGAGGGAACTAATGTCTGTAATACTTCTTTAGAAGTTCAGCATAATCCCCTCTCCGCCCAGCCTGGAAAGTACAACAGTAACTACCTGCTTCCTAGCCCCTTGCTCCCACACAACTGTGTGCACTGTCAGCCATGATCGAAAAGTCAGATGCTGTTGGTGTGTCCTTACGTACCTGGAGAATCCTTGCTCTCCCTGGCTCCCCTATAGGTTTTGTTACAGTCGGGCCACATCTAATCATAACAAGTAATCTCTGCAGGCAAGGACATGAAGGAAGGCCCCTTAAAGCTACTGGGAACTTTGTCATTTGACTTTAGCAGACGCAGGGTCCAGTGCCATACGGGTGAGAGTCTGTAGAATGGGAACCCAGTTTGGCTATGAAACATTGGCATGTCTGACTGTTACACTACTTGACAAGGCTGTAAACTGAACAGGGAAGCACTTTCCCCCAGATCTCACTTTCTAGGAAACTGAACTAGGAAACTGAACTGATCATAAGTATCAGTAAGTAGCAAGATATTCCATTTTATTTGGCTTTCATCAAAAATAAAAAACCATGGAAAGAAAATAAAAACCAGGAGACTGTTATCTCCACACACGGAGTTGGCAAGGACAAAAAAGACACGCCGTGAATTCGATATTTTTTATTTAATCTGACATTTAGCAATTGTAATGTTTGGTTCAAGTAATAAATGGGTTTGTCCTTTTCAACAAAACTGCTTTCGACATATTATTCCCTTCACAGCGTATTTTGCTGAATTCCAGATGTTGCTGTTTATTCAAGGCAAAGTTCATCCAGAGAAGGGTTAGGAAAAATTGAATTGCTGAAAGCAAAAATGATTGTATTAGCTTCTGAGCAGTCAGTGTTTCTAGGTACTGTTGTTACATGGAGTCTTCCACTCTGATTACTTATTGCAGCCTAATGAATTATTTCTAGGCAGTGAAATAACTGTCAGTGTGCAGTCTCTCTGTTAACCTTTCTAACGTGAACCTGTAAAATAATATGTGTTTTTAGTGACTGAGAACAAATTAATACAGAGAGATAATCTACACAGGAGAGATTAGCATCACCTCTGCATGTAATGGTGGAAGACACAGTCCTTTGCTTATATTAGTCTATTGCTAATGTATACATATATAATATATATTATATATTTTAAATTATATATATTACTTATTTCCAGTGAATATTAATACCTGTTAATATTTTTAGCTGTTTGTATTATGGTGAAGCTGTGTAGCTCCTCTCCTGGACTAGAACTCCATTTTTCTACATGCTGTACAAACACAGAAGGGAAAAATGGTCCATACCTCAAAGAGTTCAGTAAGATAAAATACTACAGACGGATACAGACAGACAGACAAGAGGGTAGAAGACGACAATGAGACATGAGGTACTCAAGGGCTGTAGGTATCAGGGGTCTTGCTACAATCCAGATATATCATAGCTATTATTCTGCAAGATGGACAGTGGGGAGCGTTGCTTGCCTGGGGTGGGTGCTGAGCAGGAGTGCGTGGTTGGGGTATAATCCTCAGCAGTGATCTTGGGCCCAGCACAGTGGCAGTTAAGGACATGAGCTAAAAGGAAATAAAGAGCTGAATCCTAAAAACCACAGACTGCTTCTCTGGCAGACAAAGTATGTGTCTAACAGTCCCTTCTACATGCTATGAATAGCCGGAGGTGATAGCTTAGTGGCATAGATGCACATTTGAACGATTTGTATTCCCTGCAACTGAGACTCCAAATCCTCACTAGACCTTTCCTCCCTGTCAGGTGGATTAACTCAGCCCTGCGGGCATGTGTGGGGATTTCTGATGAAAGGGATGGAAATGCCCTGTCTGCTCAGCAGCAACCGTGCTGCCAGCCTGAGAGGTTTTCCACTCCAGTGTCCCTAACATGTGAAAGTACAAAGGGAGATCCTTCCTCTGGAAGTGAGGCAGAAAACTCTGGGGCAGAGAAAAGAAAGAGACCATATGGGAAGGACACAAATGAGAAATGGAGAGAAGGGCTCAAACCCCAAACAGTGTGCAGCCCTGATGTGGGCAGATTTTACTCCTCTTCAACAAATTCCAGAGGTGTCTCTTCCCCATTTAGCCTTTGGCAACCCCTCAATGTTGCAATAGAGTCTAATTAGCTGAAACTGCTGTGTGGGGACATGAAAGACCCCATGGATGGGACTTTGCAATCAAATCCCTTGGCCCAAAAGGTCTCTTCCCCACCACGTGTGCAGTCTGTTGGCCTGGCCACGGCTTACTGCCAGGTAAAGTGGTGGCACTTCAGTAGGGAAGCCACAACTCTCCCAGCGCTGCTTGGCTTCATGCTGTCTTTTGCAGATTGGAATAGGAGACAGCTGACATAGACACTGCATTATAGTTGCAATAGGTGCTGCACACCACAGGAATCCTCCCCAGGGGAGATTCAGTGCATTTACAGTTGGTTGCTGGTAGAAGAGCAAGACTAGGGCTTGCAGAAGGGAGGAGAACCTGGTCCTGAATCTTTATTTCTGTGGGGAAAGCATCTAGGGTATGATAGGGACATCTACATAATAGAGCAGATTTTTAATTAGGAGCACAGCTCCGACAACTTGAAAATATGATGTGCAGCTGCTTTGAACAGCATGATTGCCAGCACCCCAGAATACAAAAGTTTGAAATTGTCTCTGGGACCATTTCCTCCCAGGTCAAGAAGATGACTGGCACCAATCAGTGCAGGTCTTCATTTCCAAGTGGCTTGTGTTTTCCTGTCCAACAAAGTGATTACATTACAACAACAGTGACTTCAAAGCCCCCAGATGCTTCCATTTCCCTCAAGTTTGAAGCCTCCTTGATTAAAATCTCACTAGGTTTGAAAGTGATTTATCTTTTCATTCAGTTTTTCTGCCTTATGCGAAAATATCACCCTCTTCTATATTCACTAGCAGGGAATGTTTACCTATGGACAAAGCCTAATCTGGATTTCCAAGCAAACAGATCAATATTTACTTTTTGCCACATAGAAGCCTGCTGTTATCATCCTTGGTACAGGATTAACAATTATTGACATAAGGAGCTACATCCCCAACTGGTGCAAATTGATGTATTTTCACTCAAATCTATGGAGCAGATTTATCCCAGCTGTAGATCCAGCCCTAGAGTCTTTCCTTATACCAACCTGACCCTCTGAACTGAAAAGCCTTAATTAAAAACTGATAGAAAAGGTGAATCTGAAATTAACTGGACGTAAGCAAATAAGAGCAAGCATCAGTACCCTGAAGGGGGTACAAAGAGGAGATACGATTTGGATACTTGTCATCCTCCTGCCAGAGGCACTGATCAGCTAAACCCAGACTTCTTGAGTCCCAGCCCTGGGTCTGAACCATAAGACAATTATTATGTATGAGTGTTGCAACATCTCCTCAAAGCCATAACAGAGATTTGTCCCAGCCCACTGCATAAGTAGTTAGTGACAGGCAGCCCATGTCTCTGCAAGTTTACAGTCTAAATAGGGCAGACAGTGAATGAGAAGAAGCAGCATTAGACCCATTTTACAGAGAGAGAAGTTTAGCAAAGAGATTAAATCCTTTGTCTGAGCTTTTGCAGGCAGCCCATGGCAGAGGGAAGAGCCCAGGCCCCCTAAGGACTACTGCAGTCTTTTAACCACTAGAGCACCACTGTTCTGGGGCAAACCAACACCCCAGGCTCTCTCAGTATCAGCAAGTAAATCCAGTTACTTTTTCAATGGTGAGCCAGCAGCCAGTCTGCCTCCTCCATTGCACTCTAGAAATGATGGTTCAAGTACAAAAAAGAGAAAAATAAAATGTAACAGAATAGGGAAGAAAAAAAAGACTGAATCAATGACTGAAAGCATGGAAACTCAGTGTCCCGCCTTCTCAAACGTTGTGTTTAGAGGGGAGTATTTGTTGTGACTGCTGCTCTCTGGGTTCAGAGCCTGACTGTAGCACCTCCGAGGATAGCTGGAGACTGTCAGCCTTTGTGGCTGCACTGAGTGTGTATCTTCACTGCAGATTGAACCCTGGCTTCCTCAGCCCCAGGGGAGAGTTCCCACTGCAAGCCTTACATCAGGCCTATATAGTTGTCTGAGCATGAGTGTAGCAGGATACATCACTGGCTGCTCTTCACCGTGCCGCTGAAAATCCTCACAGGAAAAAATGGTTTAAAGTTCCCATTAGGACAACCAAGATCTGCAAAGAGGGGAAATAGCTCTGTCCTTCAAAGAGCAGAAAGTATCGGAGCGGGAAACAGGTGAATAGGTTGTAGACATGTTAGTCTAAGGACATGGGCAGACAAGGTTCTTTGGGTATATCTGATACCTTTTATTAGACCAACTCAATTAGTTGGTCTAGTAAAAGATATCAGATTTACCCAAAGAACCTTGGAGAGGGAAAGGAATTTGAACCACCTTGTTCTTAAATGTTTTCCAGTTTTTCCTTTTAATTCAACATTTGGAAGTCTGAAACACAGTCAGCCAGCTATATAGGGGGTCAGTTTTTTAAATAAAATGTCACTGAAATAAGTGTGTTTTCACAATACATTTCCATTTCTGTGAATGGGTTGTTTCTGATAGAAAAGCACTCTACTGGAAATATTTTAACCAGCTGTTCATGTAACACAGCATGGTTAGAGGGGTGCAGGATGTTTTTGCAACACACAGTTTCTTGCCTGTAAAGGGCCTCCATGTAATTTAGAGTTGAAGCTGATAATAGCTGAGGAAAGTCTCAAAACATGTTAAAGCAAAAGAAATGGATAACAGAGATCTCTTTAGTTATGCGTGCTTTGGGGAATGATTAGTTTCTAAAAGGCATATTTTTATTGCTCTGCGATGCACTAAAGGTTTTTGTGGAGCATGGAAGAGCAGGAGCTTGTGACCACAGCTAGAGATGAGAGGGCTGCAATGCTCTGGTATTCCTCCTGTTATTTAGGAAGCTCTTGGGAATCCAGCTGAAAAGTGCTGCTCATGCACTTGAGGTCGAACCCATCACTGGATTTGGAACCAGGGAGGAAACTTTTCCCGTGTTCAGTTTGGCAAGGATCATAGGCATGCTTCTCTTCCTGGGATCATCTGATGACACATTAACCCCCAAAATTTCTACCCATTGCTGTGGCAGGATATTGGTGATCTGATTTCTCCCTTACTTTTTACCTGTGGCACATTGTAGAGTTTTATCTCTTGTAGGGTGCTTTGTGGGTGTGGTGTTTGAGAGGGGTCACAGTGAAGCGTCTTGTGGATCCTTTGGACAAATGCCTTGGTACAAGGAACTGCACTGGAGGGCTTAAGAGGTCCCTTCCAGTCCTATGACCCTACACTGTTTAGTTAATAAATGGAAGTAGTGAATTAATCTGCTGCTGTTAACCACTTATTATAGGATCCAATATAAGAAACTTGTGAATTTATGTTACTTAGAAGGATAGCAATGCAATTAGACAGTCATTGTCGATCCATATTCTGTAATTTGTTTGAAAAGAAATTATGTTTTTATCATAGCAGCTAGATTTGAAAACTTCTAGTTGGATACAAAACACCATCTTGCCCATTTCTTGGCCTTTGGAATGTTTTCTGATTGATTATGGCAGCAATTTGGGACTGGAGAAAGGAGCTCTATTATATCAGGAACTAACCAGACATGTGGTCCCTTCTCTGAGGAGCTCGCAGATTAATAGACAAGACAGGAACAAGGTGGAGCAAGTGGTTGCAGTGTGGGCACTGACAGACATGCAGCTCCCCACTATAACTCATAGCACTTCACAGAAACAGCCATGAATTACAGCAACCCCTTCCCGCCCCCCACAACCCAACAGATGTTTGCTGTTTAGCTGGGAAGGAGAGGATCAAGCTTCACTTTAGAGCCAGTTCAGTAGAGAGAGGCTGTCTATCTGCAGCCTCCCCCCACCCCGCTTTCCATTCCCAGTTCCTATGAAGTCTGCAGGATGGGAGAGGGAGAAGGCAAGGGAGGGACCTCTGGTCTGGGGTTTGCCCAGCCTGTGCTGGGATGGTGGGTTGATTGGCGCTCCCCATCTCAGGGGGCTCCAATCCACCCATCCTCCCCTCAACTCCAGTGCAGGCTGGGCAAACCCCAGAGCTCCCTCCCTTGCTTTCCCTCCCTCCCATCCTGCAAACATCAGGAGGAGCAGGGCTGTGCTGCATCAGCCCAGCCTTGCTCACACACAGGGACAAACAGAAGTTAATGAAGGTGCTCTGCTTTGGAGTGCCTTCATCTGAACCCTCATTAAATGATGGTCAATTTGTCACACAAACAGGCACTTTTAAAATGCTCTGCAGCCATACTTCTGTCAGGGCACAGCTGTAGAGTGCTTTCAAGGGGCTGATTGCATGACAAATATAACTTCTGTCAGCGCCCACAAGCAGTAAGCAACACTTTAGTTAAATAACATTAACCCCTTTCTTTTACAGCTGGGGAGTAGATGGAGTTTGTTCGGAGAGAATACTGAAGAGTGAAGGAGAGGGCACAGTGAAGGGAAGAAAGGTAGGCAGTGGAGAAAAGGAAGGCAAGTGTGTCAGGTCTGCAGACAGACTATGAGGAAAGGAAGTGAACGAGCTTGAAGCAAGCAGCCAATTGACACAGGGAAGAGAGAATCCAGACAAAAACCATGCCATCATAGAGGTCCAGTCCATTTTACTCCTGTGTTGGGGACTCCCAGCAGCTCTCTTATTCTGTAAATAGACAATAGTGCAAGAGAGAAATATATTGCAGCATGTTTGCTCATCTTTACAACTGGGCTTGAGCTGCCATTTGATCTTCCCTTCTGGAGACAGCAGGCATATGGAGCCAGTGAGGTGCTGAATAAACATAGGTCTAAGTTTATGCCATCTACCACTAAGTATAGATGTAGGGCAATTGTCTGCTTCCTTGTGGGACAAGGGAGATGCGAGAAACACATCTTGGATGATTGTGAGGCACTAAGAGTGAGTACTAGGAGATGTGTCTGAAAGAAAAGGAGAATAATAGTCATCTATAAAGTTGCTGTGTTAACATTTGATCACCCTGCAATATGGTCATCCAGGTCCCTGGGGACTTTACCTTCACAAGGTCTGTGTCTGTATCTCCACTAATAAGAACTCTATTGTTCCTGCTGGTTTGTATTTAGCACCTGAAAAATAGACTTATGGATTTATCATTTCAGACCATCTGGTGGTTTGGCTCACTGCCTTCTTCTTGCAGATGTGTTTGTCTTTGGGTCTTTCCCCTACACAGTCACTGCCAACGCCTTGGAGATCTTAACTGTTCTTTTATTTTCTTTGTTTGCAAAAGCAATAAAATTCCAGAGGAAGCAGAAGGATAAGTTAATTGTTAGGCTGTGCTTCCTTTCCCTTTATACCTGAATTGGTTTCCAGTTAAATAGTACTTTATCAGAAATGCATTTTTGCACGAGGAAAAGAAAGTAATTTCTTCTTTGTCTAGAGCTGACTGACACACACAGTATTAGAGTCACTGAAAAATCCTCGCTGGTCAAACAGACGAGGTGCCCTCCTTGTAGCCCAGGGGTTAGAACTTTCTTCTGGGATAGTGGAGACCCAGAGGCCCACCTCTGCCTGACTGCATTCAAACCCAGGTCTTTCCTTTTCCTGAAGCTCTCCTAAAGCCTGGGTTAGCCAATATTTTCAGAGTTGGCCTCTCTAAATCTCTCCTTTTGAAGCTGCTCCGCTTTCCGTAATATCATTACATATTAATTGGAGTAGGGACTGAAGCTTGCCTCCTTCAATTCTTGGGCAAGTGTCCTAATCATTGGTCTATAGTGAGCCTCTTAATTTTGTTCTCTCCCTCTCTCCTTGCTAATGGATATTTAATTCTGTTATGAAAAGTGGAACAGTTTCAACAGGAGAGACCAAGAGAGCTTCACCCTGGAAAGCCCAGTAGTTTGGTAGATTGTGAGATAATTCACTTGGGCTGTGGGACACCTTCGTTCCAGACTGAGATCAGGGAGCAGGGCAGCCAGCAGGTGCAGGCCAGCCCTGATGAGGTGGTCACATGACTGCAGGAGGACCCAGTGTTTGGAGGAGAGGGCTGAGTGGCCTCCATCTTAGCTCAGGCCCTCAGGGATGAGCCATCAGTATGCTGCTGACAACTGGAAGAACACCACCTGACTGAGCTGCTGCTCAGAAGATCCTGGGAGGTAAAGGCAGGAGCTGCGGGGATAGCAGGAGGCTCCTGGTCCTGGGGCATAACCGAAAGCTACACCCTGTTGGGGAAGGATGACCTGGTGGGACTGCCAGTGGCAGGGTAGTTCCTCAGAAATGCTAGGCCAGTTGCCTGCCCAGTGAAAGGTGGGTAGGGGTGCCTTATAACCCCAGCTCCCACCCCATTAGGTAGTTTTAGAGCAGGGACAGGCAGTGGGGCCAAGCATGTTTGTGGACATCTGATAAGACTCCAAGCCCCAGTGAGGGGGCATAGAGTCGGCTCCAGTGAAGGGGCAGAAGTGTATAGAGAGGCCCACACAGAGCAAGGTGCACAGTGGTGCCTGAAGGTCTGTGTGTGAGGGGTGTAGAGTAGGGTATGCACAGGCGGGCCTGAAGGGCTGCACCAGGAGGCATGTAGAGTAGGGTTGCGTGGGCAACCTGAAGGGCTATACATGGGCTAACCCCCAAAGGAGCGACAACATGAGCACATTGCCTGGAGAGGGGCTAGTGGCTGAGTTTAGCCCAGTGTGAGGCATAAGGCTAGTGTTTGCAGAGTCTGAAGGGCTGAATGTGCACCGGTCAGAGTGTGAGTAGGAAAGCCTGAAGGGCCATGTAGAGTAGGGCCGAAGGGGGACTTGAAGGGGCTGCATGGATCCGTGGTGGGTTGAAAGTGGCCCAGAGAGGAGCAGTGTGAATGAGGCCCTGTGAGAGGGGGC